GACTGCTGCAGCAGGTGCAGGAGCTGCTGCAGCAGATGCGGGAGCTGCTGCAGCAGATGCAGGAGCTGCTGCAGCAGATGCAGGAGCTGCAACAGATATAGCAGCTGCTGAAGCAGATGCAGCAGCAGCAGCTGCTGCTGCAGATTCAGCAGATGCAGTAGCGGGAGCACATGCTGCAACGAAAGCAGCAGATGCAGGACCTGCATCATCAACTACAACAGCAGCAGCAGGAGCAGCAGCAGGAGATGTCGCTGCTGCACCAGATGTAGGGTTTACTTGTGCTGGTTCGCATGCAAGCTGCTGCAGCAGCTGCTGCTGCTTTGCTGCTGCTGAGAGCTCAGGGGGGCGGCTGATGGATGTGGTTGTCTCTGCCCCCTCCATAGCCGCGGAGTGTCTCGCCTTTGGGGGCCTTCCTGTTGGTTGTGACGACACACAGACGGGTGCGTTGTGCTGTCTCCTGTCTCCTCTTTCTGTCTCCTTTTGTCTCCTTCTGTCTCTCTGCTGTCTCCTGTCTCCTCTCTCCGTCTCCTCTCTCTGTCTCCTTCTGTCTCTCTGCTGTCTCCTGTCTCCTCTCTCTGTCTCCTTTTGTCCCCTTCTCTCTCTCTGCTGTCTCAGTTTGTCCCTCTGCTGTCTCCGTCTGTCTCTCTTATGTCTCTCTTCCTTCTCCTTCGGTCTCTCCGCTGTCTTTTCCTGTCTCCTTTTGTCTCTTTCTTTATTGTTTCTGTCTCCGTCTGTATTTCTGCCTCTTTTCTGTCTCTTTCTGTGTCTGTCTCCTTCTTCCTTTTCTCTGTCTCCGTTTGTCTTTCTGTCTCTTTTATCTCTCTTGTCTTTGTCTGTCTCCTTCTTCCTCTTTGCTGTCGCCTTCTGTCTTTGTCCGGCTCCATCTATCTCTATCTGTCTCCTTCTGTCCCTGCTGTCTGCGTTGTGCTGCCAGCTGTCTCCTTCTGTCTGCGTTTGTCTCCTTTTGTTTCTTTCTGTCTCCTGCTGTCTCTGCCTCTGTTTGCCCCCTGTCTGGGTCTGTTTTTCCTTGTCTCTTTTTGTAGTACCGCCCCGTCGTTTCCTCTCTCTTTTGTCTCCTTTTGTCTCACGCTGTCTCCACTTGTCTCCACGTGTCTCAATTTTCTCCTTTTGTCTGTCTCTGTTGTCTCCTTTTGTCTCTCTCTTTCTCTTGTCTCACTTTGTCTCTTCTTGTCTACCCATGGTTGTCCTCTTCCCTTCGTTTTTCTATGCGGGTTTTCTGCCCAGAAGAATGCATACACCTCCTCCTTCTCAGAATCTCTTTTGCTGCTGCTGTTGCTGTTGCTGCTGTTGCTGTTGCTGCTGCTGTTTTGGCTGCTCTTGCTGTTGCTGCTGCTGCCTTTGCTGCTGCTGCTGCTGCAGGCCTTCTCATACAAACCACTCCCTTTGGCGCCCGTGTCGTGCGCGGCGTCCCCCTAATGAGCCGCCACCAACTCCACCGTGTTGCTCCAGCACCCGAGCGGCCGGTTGCTGCAGCAGAAGGCAGAGGAGCTGCTGCTGCTGCTGCTGCTGCTGCTGCTGCTTGCAGCACCAGTGGCTCCAACGGCACACGAAGGGCTGGGAGCAGCAACAGCAACAGCATCAACAACAGCAGCAACGGCAGCAGCAGTGGTGGCAGCAGCGCTCAATCAGCAGCAGCAGACGGCTCATCGCTATACGCACCCTTCACCCCTCCATCTGCAACTGCTGCTGCTGCTGCTGCTGCTGCTGCTGCTGGGCTTATGCCTGCCTCTGTGCGGCCATCACGGCCTTCTGTCTCCCCTGAGTTGTGGCGACCTTCTGCCAGCGGTGAGGCAGCAACAGCAGCAGCAGCAGCAACAGCAGCAGCAGCAGCAGCAGCAGCCGAAGGTGTGGGGACCCAAAGGAGACACGCTGTGCTGCAGCAGGACCAAGAGGAGGACCCCGTGCCCTGGCAGAGCGTTGACCTTTTCGCGTGGAGTCTCCTTGATGAGAATGGTAGGCATTCTGTTGCTGCTGTTGCTGCTGCTGCTGTTGCTGCTGCTGCTGTTGCTGCTGCTGTTGTTACTGCTATTGTTGTTGTTTCTGTTGCTTTTGTTGATGGCGCTGCTGCTCTGGGGGGTTGCGTGTCTTCTTC